TCTGCATTTTCAGAGTTAATAAAAACCTCCTCGAGTGACGTAAAGGAAAGTTACTGCCAAACATTGCGTCAGAACTGACACCACTTTAATCTGCCGAAGAGCATGTACTTTTGTAGCAAGTAAAATATTTAATTAGTCGTTGACACAAGTTTTGAAATTCGAACTTGTAGACGAACAATTTCCGGTCTTTATTGTCTACCAAATGGAACTGGGCAATCTTTGTTGAGTATAAAAGACGGACATTTTGCATGAAAATGATGCCACAAACTTTCTCCTCCACAGAATTTCACCTTGACTTTCTTCTTCTGAGGAAAAGTTCCCATTTCGCAATGCTGGAAGATTTTTTGTCCGCGATTATCGCCCAGATTAAAATTTCCCGATTCTTCAACAGCATCCCGTTCAAATGGAATTTGAAAACGAGACGCTTGATCGAGGACACGAACAAGTTGTATAATTTCAACTACAAAATCGGTCGCTTCGTCCACGCGACCTACGCGACCTTCATGGCGACGAGCTTCACCCACATGTGGCTCACGTCGGACACGAAGGGGGGCATCAGCGTGGACCAGATTCTGTCGATCGGGTGGATCTGCTGCCACTGCGGGAGTGGGATTCTCAGTGCGGGCGTGGCTCACAAAATGGACCAACTTCTTCGGCTCATCAACTCCTTCCTCGAGTTTGAGGAGAAACTCTGCGAAGGTGTTTTGAAAATATTAATAAAATTTTTAATTTGAGATTTTATTAATAGTGCTATTACGGATATTTGTTTGTAATATAAGAAATTATAAATTTGGAAAATATTTCAACCGACCTCAAAATTTGACATTTTTTAAATTCTGATCATACATCAATCAATGATCAAGTATGTATGTAACTCACACTTGCACCAATTTTCAGACGTTTCTGAGCGAACGAAGGGTCACTGGGTCATAAAGCTGCTGTGCTACCTTGGGTGCGCGGCGTCCCTGGGAATGCCGACCTTCATCTGTCTCATGATCGCCTTCCACCCCTGTCTGCCCCCCATGGTCGGCTACTCCCTCCTCGACTGCGCCACCATCGCCGACCCGGCCTCCGCCTCCTTCTGGCTGCGAAACCCCCTCCTCGTCTTCAACATCCTCACGTGGTACAACGCCTTCGGGATGGCCTACTTCCTCATGTTCCCAGCCTTCTACCTCCCCATGATCTGCCTCAAGGAGTATCTCAGGACCTTGCAGCAGTGAGTGGCACTACGTTTTCCTATAAAAAATGCTATGCATAATTATGCGCGATAAGCGTCTCTTATCAAAAATGCATTGATAACCGGACAACAAAATTTCGTAGGGTCACCCTCCGCCAATTCGACAAGGGAAAGATAACGACGGATGCTGCGACCCGGGCCACCATCATCACGATCTACCGGCGGATGCAGATTCTGGAGCTCAAATTCAACTCGTGCTACCAAACGGTCTTCCTCCCTACGACCCTGCTCGCCTGCATGCTCTCCGCCATGACGTCCCTTTTCGTCGCCATCCGCCTCCACGACGCCGTTCCCATCGCGGGCATGGGCTTCTTCTGCCTCAAACTCTCCATCCTCTTCGTCCTCTTCGTCTTCGTGTTCGGCTTCGGGGGCAAAATCCACACCGGGTCGGAGGAGATGCTCGCCAAGTGGAGGCAGGTCGAGGGGCTCGCCACTCACAAGGACTTTCGGAGGGCGGTGTGGTCATTCCGGTCGCTCAAGGTCAAGTATGGCGACTACGGCTTCATCGACAAATTGACCCCTCTTGTCCTCAATGCCTTCGTGGTGGGTTTGACCGTCAATCTCTTACTCATTGTGGAGTAGAGGGGAACTTGAGACGACGGGTTGCATTAGATTGCACGCATCATTTTAGATCGTAGTAAATACGTAATTAATAGTAAAAGGCTGCACCACTTTCACCCGCAATAAGTCCGAAATGCACGTTAAGAGGGCATCGACTCTTTAATTAAAAGCGTAGCAAAATTCGCACCTTAAATGCACTACTAAATAGTTTTCTTGTGCATATGTAGCTATGAATGAAGTTGGAGAAACACGTAGAGTTGAGTAAACTTCTTAAACCGAATTGCTCATAAAGCCATGTTTACAATGAAGTTTGAGAAACCAGGTGGACTGATTTCGTAGTGAGATGTTTATACTATCACATACACGGAAAACGGAAGCAATTAAACTGCACATACAGATACTTATTTATCTAGGTGTAAACAGATTGAGGGATTGAACCTTTGAAAATTATACGGAATGTCTTCTTCGGGGGTTAGCATTGGTCCAGATGAGACGATAAAGTGTGTCGTAAAATTCGGTTTTACAGAGATCCTGGAGACAACAAGCAATTACAAAATTTCTTGACAATTCTGAATTGAACAGCAAAGGTGTTTACAGGAAATGGACAAATTTAGTAAATCAGTTTGTTTCTTTGCTTGCAAGGATTTTGTAGCACATTATAAAAATACTTCTCATTTTTAATTGTTTCACTGTATTTAGTATGGAAGTGACGAGACAATTATGTGTGTGACCAGTGACCACGTACTTAGAATTTGACCAGATTTTATGCAAATATTATTCAGCTGAATACAAGAAATATAGACATGTTTGAAAATCAAGAATGGCTACGTACATATATTTGCATTCATTTACTTCGCAAATACTTCCAACGCGAATCGCAGAGAAATAATTTTACAGATTTCAATTAAAGAAGTGAATGTCCATCAATTTTCTCTCGAATTCCTAACAGTGATAGTTACAAAATAAAATATACCAAAATCCATCTACCATCCCATAATTCACTCCCTACAATCATACCACGCGTGGAATAAAGTTCATTCATAATTCATAATTCTCATTCATAATTCTATAAAATTCATCATCTTCAATCCCTCTGTAATTTTTCTACCAATTTTACTGCATTTTACACATCTTCATTATCACATCACATTATTCCAATCATCTCGACCAAAGTACAAACAAGTAAGTGAAAGCAACCAATCAGGCCTAACAATATTTTCATGCACACAAATCATGCCATTCATTCATTCAATTCTCTTGCCTATAAAATCTTCAAAATATCCAGAAATAAATAAGTACATACGAAATATGAACGTTTCAACGATCACGTTCACCCTTCGTGATTTCTTAACTAATACTTTGAAGACTTTCATCTTTGTATTCTCCTCGGACGAGTGAAAGCCTGAGAAATAATGATGACACAAACTTTCATTTCTTTATCTTTGAGTTATTTACTTTCCCTGCCTGCCTACGAGCCAATCAGGGTGAACAAATACTGTTTGAATGGAAAGTTGACGACAGGGTGACATTTCTCCAGGCTCAAGAATAATAAATAATAGGGCACCAAATACATAATAATAAGATTGCACAAAATCCTGAATTAATGATCAAACTCATCACAATAATAATGGAATGGAATGGAACGTGGGCACGGACAAAGTTCAGAGTTCATCATATTACATGTTATCATCACGATTTTGTTTGACATGTCGACTTGAAATCACGTCCTGGCTCGTGCTCTGTGTCGTCGGTGGGTCGGATGTTCCACCATAATTTCCATAATTTGGGAAGTTCTCATTAATAATGTATTTATTTTTGGGGGGATGACTCAATAATCTCTTGTTTATTGTCATTTCTTCGCGAATGGGACGAAGTGCGTAGGTTTGTATGTAATTTGATGTAAATTAAAATCAGTGATTATGAAATATGTGCTCCTTGAAAGTGAAGGTCTCCGGAATGAATCTGAAAATGTTTAGTGGAAACTGGATCAATCTTGAAATGGTGCATATTTACACAGTCTAGGCTGAATATTTAGTATGAAAAGGCGCAATTTGCACACAATTTGAGACAAATTATCACTAATGCTAAGTTGACATTTACAAATTTTGCCCCCTCAAACTTGGTCCGACCAATTGAACTTGAATCACTGGACTGGACAGGATGAAGGTTAAAGTTGAAATGCGTGGTGTGTACAATTGTACAATACATGCATGATTACAGCATGTGCTGTGTAGATGGGAATGAGGATGCTGCATGGTTCTCTCAATTTGAGACAATTTTCTTCTATATGGTAAGCCCATCAATTATAAATACGTAACGGTGAAAATGGGCTTTCACCCGGTTATAGATAAGTTCCTACTTTTCCATTTTCCATTCCATGTGACAAGTGTGTGTGTTACGGGTGTCACAGACTTATCAATTATTCACGCCCATGCATACAGTAACCAAAACACTATAACCTACACTAAATATTAGTGGAGAAATTATGTATGTAGACTAATCCTAAATAAGTGGAGAAAGTGTGATATGAATATGACACATGCATGAATATGTAACTAATGCATCGGGCGTCCATTAGTAAGTTGATTATATAAACCAAAAAATGTATTTCATGTCAGTTTTTTTGTAAATGCGTATTAAGTACTTTGTATTTTATTCGTAAATTGTTATATTTACAAATTATATTTATTCATTCATATAATTTATTCACATGCTGGCGAGGACTTGGTTATGTAAAATAGAGGTGTACAAAGAGATCGTGTTTTTTCAGCTTCCAACGATTTTTACATATAATAGATTAAAACTTGCGTAATTTTGTGTACATAAAGGATTCAGGCAGTTTTCACGGTACGAATTTTTTGCCCATTTGGGTAAATTAAATTTCTTACTAAAACTCGGCCAAATTTGGTTTAATATGATAAATCGGACGAGAAATAGCGAAATCACAACAGGGCGATGGGTGTAGGTTTGCGATATGTACTTCGGACAACACAAAAATGCGAAGTGTGTGTCGAAATTTCATGCAAATAGGACGAGAAATGACAAATGACCACAAAACTTGTCAAAAGCAAATAGAGTGAGTCAAATGTTGCAATCAGTAATCAATTAATTTATGCAGGTTTTTCCAATGATTAAGATAACCGAATGATAAGGTTATAAATAAAGCGAGGCATGCTAAAATCAATATCACTAAAATCATGTGTAAAGAATCCTAATTAAGTACGTTCAAGTTTATTGTTGTGAAAATCTTTTTTGTTTCGTTTACATTTTAATGGATCACATTATGTGATTCACATATGTACATACAACAAAAAATGTACTTGAGTGGTGTCCTGTCACTCAAGATGACTCCAAACAACAGGCCATGTCCAGGTTATTCAGACCAGTGTCATCAATAGCTGCAAGGAATCAAATGACACAAATTGTGAAATCCAGCATACACAATGTAAATATTTTTAATACGTAATAATCAAAATTTAAAATTCAATCCAAAAAAATCCAGCATTGTGCATATCTATTTTTCCATGATTTGCAAAACGTGCAAATCTCAAGCAAAAATACCTGACGGAAGTTGAACCGCAATCTGAGCCTTGTATCCGCACAAGAGTGTTCCAGTCGGACAATTGAGTCGCTCTGTCCAGTCCCCCCACGTGTTTCCGTACCCCTCCATCCTGCTCCCGTCACAGTAAAGGGCAATATTGTTGGCCGCAGTGTTATCCAACGTAACTCCCTCTGACCTCATTTGGTAGCCGGTCCCCCTCGCAGGGGCCAGACATTCGTAAAATGAACCCCAATTTCCATGCAACGCTTCCCCTGATTTGATGTACGTTGCGGGCTACGAGTCAAAAAAAACATTTAAAATATCACTGGCAATTTAATTGACAACATAAGTTGATGCATAAATTTTACAAAGTTACGAAGCTTGTCGCTAATTATTTACTCTCAACTCACCCCTTCCGGACCCTTGCACGCTAATTCGACCGCATTCATCGCCGTATCGTCGACAAATATCCCTTGATCAGGCTGGTTTTTGGTTCTAAATCCCGTCACGAATGTCCCATTTGGACAAATAGCCTCTTCCGCCCAGTCTCCCCAGTTGGTTGTCCGGGTTGACTGCAGCCACACGGAAATAGGGCGCTGACCATAGGCCGTGGAGGTGATGGCAAGAACGAAGGAAATCCATACCCACGAAGTCGTCATGATTCTGCACGTTTTTTTTTAAATGTGTGTCTTGCAGGGAGACGAGAGTGAATGAAAGTGTGGAAATATTCGTGTCAAGTTTATGTATTAGTCTCGTTATTATTATCGCGTAAGGTACCTTATCTATCCCTTCTCGTTATTGTGTCACGAGTGGGTTTCCCATCCATCATCATCATCGAATCATGACATTCGTCATAAATTAATTTTTCAGATGTAATTATGCATAATAACGTAAACTGTATTCAATGATTGAATTTCAATCTAAAGTTAAATATATTTTTGGAAGGTGCGAATTGCGCGTTGAGGTAGTCAAATGCAGATAAAAGTGATAGGTGTCCATCAATAAAAGGTGGGATGTTATATATCATTTAAGTTAGGCATATGCGAAAAATGTGAGATCATCAATCATTGATAAACTGTTAGAAATCGGTATTAAAGTTGTTACCGTTTGGTCTTAAAATTACATATACCGAATGATAAAAATTTACTACAGATATAGTAGAACTTGAATATCGAACACGGGATTACTTATCGATGCTCTTTTGGTAGAGTCATTTATGAATACTGCTGCTTGGTATTATTTTAGTAAGGAATTGCCAAGAGTGTACAAAAAATATATCTCATAAGAATCATATCACAACAGATATGTGAAAAAAATAATTATTTTCCTTGCCACCTGTCTGTGCATTACAAGTGATAAATTAATAGTGAGGGTATTCATTATTTCTTCGTATCCTTAGTATTCTTCGTATCGTAAAATAACTTACGACGTTTACGAGATTTTGTAAGCTTCGTAAGATTTTGTCATCGAAAATCACGTTACTACGCTTACGATTTTTACTAAACCTAACCCCTTGTTTTTTCTTCGTAAACTATTTTACGATACGATGGATACGAAGAAATAATGAATACCCTCAGTGAATTAATTTAATAATAAATTTCTGGTTGCACATATTTATAATAATTTCCGTGATGGGAAGTAATTAGCATAAAATATTTTCGTGTTTTTTTGGTTATACATATGCAAACATTTGCCATGAAAAGTAATTAACGTCACGTAATACAAGCATAAGGTATGTACCAAGGTCCTGAATTTTACTTAGTTGAAATTTACATGAAAACGGCCTTAACTTCGCGTGGCAACGAAGTTTTTTCCAAAAATAATCCCAAACTCGTCCCAAGCTCTCGGTCACAAAATTTACCATCAAATGAGCTAACCTTATGTAGACACGTAACTAAGTAAAATTCAGGACCTTGGTATGTACGCATTTAAATATTTGTAAGAAGCTTATGTTTAATTAGGAACTTGTGTTGTTGTAATTTCGTGTTTGCCAGGCCAGAAGTGTAAAAGATTGGTATTGACTGGTTCGCAATTAATTGAGTAAACAATTCGATCTTTGCGGTAAGAAAAACAACTCGAGAAACCTGCCAATTTACTACAGATGCGTATTTACTTACCACGTATTTGAGGAGAAAGTAAGAAAAACCACTTAAAAACTTGTTATTCACATTTCCTCTAACAAACTACAAATCAGTGAAAATGAGGTAAAGAACGTAACCTCACCATCAAAACGGTCTCTCCAAAATACTGAATTACATTCCTCCACGCGCTTCATTTTTTTCCAGTAATTACATACAAAACAAACAAAGTAAAGAGTTGACAGTGGAGACAAATGAGCAGGTGTGTCAGCAAATTGACGCGTGATTGAACAGACAATGAAAGGCTTTCATCAAACAGATGACCCATGTTTTCACGACCACAAACTCTGCCATCATTTCCTCCGTGTCGTGTCGGAATAACGGGTGTGAAAGGAATTCTTGGGAATGGAAGTCCTTGAAAAGGTCGTGAGAACTAAAGATGTGATCCACGAGCGGCACGTGTCACCATGATCAACGGGATGATGGATAGGAAAGGGCTTACCAACAATTCAATGTTTTAGAAGAAACAAAACTGGCGAAAGCTTCTCAAAATGAAGGTCCTTGAAGTAAATAGATTCTATTTTATAATGATTTATCAGCGACGAGGATAAAAATGATATTTTTAGTATGATTTTTATATTCTTATTCAGTTTACGGGGAAATATCTATCAACAAAATAAGAATCGACATGTGCAGACAATACTGTGATCCTTACGGTTCTTTCGTGATGAAGAAATATGGTGAAAGTAAAGTGATTATTTTGTAACGCAATTTTGTAAGAGTAACACGTCAAAATATGAATGTTTTGGTTAAGCGTATGAATTGAGTAGTATAAGATCCGAGGATTTGCTCGAATATTTCCTAAAAATGTGGTGTTTTCTTACATTATGGTTTATGTTTCATTATCGCTTATGTTTGTACCTGATAAAAAATAATATTTGCAACTTCTCAACAAATCGTTCGATTATAATGATAATCGATTATCCATTATTTCGAAATATACCAAACCAAGCTTTACATATGCACGCGTAATGCTGAAGGAGATTTTTTTTAATATTTGAAATTTCTCCAAATTGTAAAACCAAATATTTGCATATTGATACCAACTTGATGAAATTGACCGGCTCTACGCAGCCAGTCTTTGTTCTCCGGTATTACTTTTCTCATGCATATGTACGTGGTCAGTCAACCTGCAGATATGTCAATAGCACGTGAAGTGTGTGTACATGAAATGACGCTGTGGTGAAAGTTCCTGCTGGATTATCATCAGTATCGCCGTTTTCATCATCCTGGTCTTGTATATGAAAATGTCAACCTAACAGAAACCATAATGCGTCACATTTGTAGCCCGAACCAGGGCTTATGTAATTGTCATGTCCGTCTGTCTGTCTGTCTGTCTGTCCGTCTGTCTTTCGATAACTCTCGAACAAGTTGACCGATTGATTTGAAATTTTTACCATATGCGTATTGGACAAAGTTAGGAAACGAGTTCGAAGATGGGCAAAATCGGTCAACTGGTTGACCGGTGGGGGTCATCGGAGTGGGTTGGGTTTTATGCACCAAAATTTCAAAATTGTCGTAGAAAGATGAAATTTGGTACAGAGGTTGCTAATGGTTCCTAATAGATAAAAATTAGTTCAAGATGGAAAAATTGTCATCTTGAGTGACCCTAGGGGGTGACCCATACTGATTTTTCAAAATTGTCATATCGAGCTGAAATTTGGTGGAGAGGTTGCTTATGGGTCCTAATGGAAGAATATGACATGAAATTGGTAAAATTTTTATCTAGAGCGACCCTATGGGGTGACCCATATCGATTTTTAGAAATTAACGTAGAAAGCTGAAATTTGGACCAGAGATCCTTAGTGCTTTCTCGTGAAATAATATGAAGTTAAATATACTGAGAAACATGGGTTTACTAATCCTGGTTCGGGCTAAGCAAAGCTGTACTGATAGGTTTTATAAACTACGACGTGTTTCGATTTCTAGGAAGTAAAGGGTCATCTCGTAGAGGTGAAAGTTCTGTAAATGTGAGGTTAGCTTGAAGGAAATAATAATATTTTACACCATGCAGAAATAGAATTTGTCCAAAATTTTGTTTACGCAAATTCATTGCGCAAAATTTATTACAGCGATTGTACGATTTATCTTGTCTACATATCCTTATCAATCAATCTATCTTTAGCACACCGCAAACATAACTACGACGCTTAAGGAAACTCTCGCATTTCATAAAATAGTGTAAACAAAACAGCACTACCAATTATCACCTTGTGAACTTGGTGCACTTCATCATTTCCAAACACGTAGAACCCCTTCCCCTCCCGCAAATTCGGCAGTCTAGAGAAATTAACGACTTTAATTTGCTGTTAATGAATTAATTCGGTAAAACCGGACCGTTTTCAAGTTTTATTGCACTCTTTACGACGTCCCAACTTGTGAAAAACGCAACTTCCTGATATAAACCATCGACCTTTGTGACGCACATGATTCCCCACAACATGCGTATATGTATGTACATATAGCTCGAAATTGATCCAAGTTCTAACTCGTTGATGCAGTAAGAGCACCTGAGATAGAAATACCACACACTATGTGCTCACACATACTACCAAACTATCTACATGTGTAATCTAATTGCTAATTGCTTCCGTTGTCTGAGGAGTGTGATAGTATAAACATCTCATTATGAATCTACAGTCCACCTGGTTTTGCGTTGTAAACATCGCTTTATGAGCAATTCGGTTTAATAAGTTTACTCAACTCTACGTGTTTCTCCAACTTCATTCATAGCTACATATGTACAAGAGAACTATTTAATAGTGCATTTAAGGTGCGAATTTTGCTACTCTTTTAATTAAAGAGTCGATGTCCTCCTTATGTCCATTTCCGGCTTATTGCGAGAGAAAGTGGTGCAGACTTTTACTATTAATTACGTATTTACTACGAACTAAAATCATGCGTGCAATCTAATGCAACCCGTCGTCTCAAGTTCCCCTCTACTCCACAATGAGTAAGAGATTGACGGTCAAACCCACCACGAAGGCATTGAGGACAAGAGGGGTCAATTTGTCGATGAAGCCGTAGTCGCCATACTTGACCTTGAGCGACCGGAATGACCACACCGCCCTCCGAAAGTCCTTGTGAGTGGCGAGCCCCTCGACCTGCCTCCACTTGGCGAGCATCTCCTCCGACCCGGTGTGGATTTTGCCCCCGAAGCCGAACACGAAGACGAAGAGGACGAAGAGGATGGAGAGTTTGAGGCAGAAGAAGCCCATGCCCGCGATGGGAACGGCGTCGTGGAGGCGGATGGCGACGAAAAGGGACGTCATGGCGGAGAGCATGCAGGCGAGCAGGGTCGTAGGGAGGAAGACCGTTTGGTAGCACGAGTTGAATTTGAGCTCCAGAATCTGCATCCGCCGGTAGATCGTGATGATGGTGGCCCGGGTCGCAGCATCCGTCGTTATCTTTCCCTTGTCGAATTGGCGGAGGGTGACCCTACGAAATTTTGTTGTCCGGTTATCAATGCATTTTTGATAAGAGACGCTTATCGCGCATAATTATGCATAGCATTTTTTATAGGAAAACGTAGTGCCACTCACTGCTGCAAGGTCCTGAGATACTCCTTGAGGCAGA